TCATATCCAAACAGTCTGTAAGGAACAGTCTGTGGCCCATGCTAGCTCCTGAAATGTGTCTGGACTAAGCCAAAAATGTGATACACCGCTCCAGCAATTTAGCAGGCAGCAGTCCTGGCACAGGTTAACTTATTAGTATAGACCCTATCTGACTGACTGCCAGAGGTGACTGCAGCAAGAACAGAGCCTGAAACCAAGGGTGAGGACTCTGTCAATGTGCTTGTTGCTTATACCACATCCAGAGCCAGCAGGAGCATTACATCCTTAGGAACAGTCTGTGACAGGCGCATAGCATGTCCAGGAATCACCTTGGATCACCCGTTTCTATCGCCTATTTGAAATAGCTCATGAGGTCAAGAAGAGAAAAGCTCCCATGGGTTCAGTGGTGGATTCACCAGTTCAAGATGGTATCTCTCCACCTAGCATCCAACATCAAATGTAGCAAGCAAATTTATCATCAAGGGGCAGCTAATGCCATGCAGCCGCTGTCCAGTCCGGCTGCTGCCTGTGCCATGGAAGGCCTCTCTGATGGCGTTCCACAGCCTGCAGCCAGTGCAGAGCACCCAGGCAGCTTACTGTGGCACAGGGAATGTGAGAAGAGTCATGCCAGGTTCAGCAACTCCCACATCACCACCAGACCAGCCGAGCAGCTCCCTGCCTCTGGGGCCCTGCACCGCCTCCAGAGCCAGCTCAACTGGTTCTGCCATGGCGTGGTCCATGGTGCCAAGACTGATCACACCTGGGGCATTTGGGACAGCCTTCTGCATGCCCTTGTGGATGCTGCTGCACCTACCCTGGGTGGCTGCTCTTCTCATGTCAAGACTCCTTGGTGGTCTCCTTGCATTGAGCATTGATGGCTCAAATAGCACAGGCTGGCCCAAGGCCACTGAGCTGGGGGTTTTCTTTCTCTGTCCGTTTGCATGTCAAGTTTTGTTTTCCTTTTTGGCCCACTTGCAAACTGTGTTATTGTAATTTGTAGTTCTCTAGGACAGAAAATGTCTTTCAGCATGTTCTTTGCTCAGCTTCTGCTGCAACAGGATTGCAATCTCAGTCAGTGCAGTAGTAATGTGATTAACAAGCCTCTGCACAAGGGGGAATTGCATCCTCAGTGGATGTGATTTTCCCAGCTCTGGCCTGCCTGTGTGTTTTCCCAGGGTGAGGGGTCATGTTGACTGAACTCCAAAATGGCTTGCTTGAACTTTTGAACACTAAGGTCCAAATAAATTTTCAACATTAGCTGGCATGCTGATCCCTTTCCTGCCAAGCTGCAGCTTTAAGTGAATTTTTATGGCTAAGTTATAAACCCCAGAAAACAGGAGTAAGAAGTGGAAATGCTGACTTGGCCTTTGCTAAATGCCAATTATCTACAAAGGCATTAAGGGTGGGGGGGGATGAAAAATAGGGTCATTTTCATGTTTTTTCTGGTTCAGAGTAAACTGTCCCATGAGCCCCTTGTAGGAACACACAGCATACAGAGTGGCCATTAATATTTATAGGCATGACACTGAGCTGCAGACCTTGGCAATCAGAGCAACTCCACTTTTGGAATTAATATAGCTGTGCTTGGCTGGCCTCTCAGTACAAAGTGGCAAGTAAGGGACACCAAGATTTTCAGGGAGAACTTAAAAAGCAGATGTTGACCTTTGACGGGGAGGGTCCATACTGCACTGAGTCTGCAAAGTATCAAACCCAACTCTTAAATCCTTGGGGCTGCTGGCCAAACCCAGCACCATGTTTTCTATTCCTTTGTGCTTCTGTGGCTCCTAGCCAGGCCCAATGCTGCATAGAGGCTGCCCACTGTTGACCACGTGCCCAGCTGATACAGGCCAGTATATCTCCATGGACACTATGAAAGCAACACAGATTTATAATTCCTGCAGATGTGGCTCAGTAGTCTTAAGCCTCAAAATGGTGCTGTAATCTCAACTGCAATGCAACACTGCCTTCTCCCACCCCATATTTTCTAACTCCCAGTTTAAGTGATACAGAGAGCTCTCACAGTGGATGCTAAAACTAGCCCTCTGTATGCCAGGGATCTGGCAGAGTGCTGAGTCACAGAGGTCGCGCTCAGCCCAGGACTATGTACCGAGCAGGATGACAAGCCAAGCCACACGCACCAACGTGTCTCAGCAATGTCTAGGGGGTCATCCTACGCTGATAGCTCAGTCACCCCAGCATGCCTTTAGAGAAATGTATCCCCAGTGCCTGAGCATTTACCGCTGATGCCACACTGAAAATGGTTTGGGGGTGGCTGAGGTTGTCATAACCCAATAATCCTTCATGTCCAAGAACTCAAGGATACCAGTGACTTCAGGGAGAGGCTATCCATCCCCCAAAACCCACCAGCTCTGGGAAAAGAAGTAAGAGAATGGACAAAGATGCTTGTTTAGGAGCTGGAGAGTTTTTGATGAAATTCAAGCAGAAGAACATTACAAATCTGCTTCCTTTTTCACATACTCACAAAAATTGAGCCAGAACTTTGAGCGACAGGCTCTACATTTTCAAAAACGGCTAGCTACTTCAAGCGAGCGCCCTGAACTCAGCACACTGGGGACAGGAGCTCCTGGTGATTTTTGCATTGCTGCAGTTACACCCTGCTTTTGCAGCATGTGGGAAGGTGCATAGCATGTTATGGAAATTAGGCATCTGTCAAAAGAGTGTCAATATGTGCACTCCATCATCTGAGCTGCTCTGAATCGTCTACTCGTGAAAATCCAGGCTGTACAGTTTAGGAGAATAAACACTGCAAACAACAACAAATAGAAATGTTCCTGCCATTAAAAAACAAGGTGAAAAGGAGGAGCTGAGCTAGTGAGCCAAGTTAATCAGAGAGCTGAGATGAGAGGCTGAAGAAAGGGGCTGTGAGTGACTCGGGGTTTGCAGTTAGCTGAGTGATGTGAAATCTCTTGTGTCTGGCTGAGCTCTGAAAGGAAATGCTTTATTAAATCTTCTTTGTGTGAGATTTCAAGCTGCCTCTGGACTGGAAAATAGAACCATTCCAGTATGCGGCATCTGATCAGGAACTGAAGTCTTTAGGGCAGGTTGTTCTGCAGAGCAAACCGATCAGCATGCGCACATACCTCAGAGGGCTTGGGACTCAAAAAGCTGAATTAGACACAGTGCGCCCATGCTCTGCTGTGCACCTTCTCTGCACCATATCCCCTAAACACTTCACAGAATTAAGCATGCCAGCAGCAACAAGCCAGGCTTTAGTAAAGACAGTGCAACTGGGCAAAAATTGACCCTACTGAAGCTGAACTGTCCTGTGGGTCAGAGGATTTCAGATTCATTATCTCAGCTTTCATTCCCACTAGGACATCAGAGTTGTCCTGATTGAAAAGATGCCCTGAGTCTCCTTTACACAGCCCATCTGGGCAGCCTCTAGTCTTAGTGTTCTTCCTGACGAGATCTGGCCACATTTTGGGGGTTGCAACCTCTTACCGCCTCTGTCCAGCGCCCATTTAGCTTTGCTGTTAGCTGGCAGCTCGCATGCTCTTGCCTGCCAAAGCAGGACTGCACCCCCACAAAAACCTTCCAGAAGGTAACTACTAAAAAGAAAGGGAGAGAGCAGGGCATGGCAAGAGGGGCACAGGACAAGGGAGAGGCTCCCAGAGTGCTCTCCGAGTCAGACAACTTCCCCTGCCCTTTGCACTTCTGTGCACACAGGGCAAGCCCCTCTTGTCTCTCCCTCTGCATTTGGCCATGTTATCAGGAAAGTGAGACCTGATTAGAAACAGGACAGGCTACATCAACCAGATTTCCTCCTCCTGTTTCTCCCCTTTTTCACCCTGTTGCATGTCCGGAGCCAAAGCGACTTAAACCCCAGTCTGCCTACTGGAAATTGCAGGGTTTGAGCTCTTGATCTGCCTTCTGCAAACCCCAGCAAGAAAGTGTCTGAAAAGTCTGAGCCGTGCAGAGCATTCTGCTTCCCGTGCACCACCCCACTGCAAACAAGCTTCTCACCTACCTTTTATTGCTGACAAGAAGCAGGACAGAGCCGTTCTGAATATTGGCCTCTTTGAGAGTCTCGTGCTCCTCAAGCTGCCTGGAGTTGTAATAAAATGTCTTCTTCCAGGAAGTGATGCCCTCCCGCACTAAGTGAGCCCGTAGGTCCATCACTGTGTCCCTGGGCTTGACAGTCAAGGGCATCATCAGGTCCTCGTCGGCCAGGTGCACCTTGATGTGGTACCTCTTCCAGCGAGACAGGCTCCTTCGCAGTGTGTCCATCCTCTCCAGTGCAGCAGGACCAGCGTGGCAGAGAGGAACATCCAGCTGGGAGGTCCGTGAAGCAGGGATGTGGCTCTGCAGAGGCTGTCTGCCGTGAACAACTTTAAATGTCCTGCCAAACCTGTTCCTCCCAGTTGCAGTGCTGCATGCTTCACATTCCAGGGAAGAGCTCACCTGGCTCCAAGAGCCTGCTGGCTGGGAACAAGATCTCCATGACTCATTTCCACACACCCCTAAATCCCATAATAATTACAATGTCTTTACAAAGTGCTCTTTGCCATTCCAATGGCTCTCAGAGGACTTTAAAGATGGATCTCCACAGCCATTAGGAACCTGGGTGCGTTTGAGAAATGGATGGGTTTAGTAACCTCATGTCTCCTGCTCTAAAAAGCTGCCAGTTCTGCTGTACAACGAAGGAGACACTGGAGAACCTCACAGCTATTTAACATGGCCATTTTAATGAAGGAAAGAAGAATAGTCTGCACAGGGAAAACTTCCTCTTGTGGGAGGGAAAGA